TGCTACATAGAATTAAATTTATGTATACCAGTATGTATGTGCTACATAGGATTAAATTTATGTATACCAGTATGTATGTGCTACATAGGATTAAATTTATGTATACCACTATGTATGTGCTACATAGGATTAAATTTATGTATACCAGTATGTGTGTGCAACATAGGATTACATTTATGTATACCAGTATGTATGTGCTACATAGGAATTAATTTATGTATACCAGTATGTATGTGCTACATAAGATTAAATTTATGTATACCAGTATGTATGTGCTACATAGCACTATATTTATGTATACCAGTATGTATGTCCTACATAGGATTAAATTTATGTATACCAGATGTATGTGCTACATAGGATTACATTTATGTATACCAGTATGTATGTGCTACATAGGATTACATTTATGTATACCAGTATGTATGTATACCAGTTTGTATGTGCTACATAGGATTAAATTTATGTATGCCAGATGTATGTGCTACACAGGATTAAATTTATGTATACCAGTATGTATGTGCTACATAGGAATTAATTTATGTATACCAGTATGTATGTGCTACATAGGATTACATTTATGTATACCAGTATGTATGTATACCAGTTTGTATGTGCTACATAGGATTAAATTTATGTATGCCAGATGTATGTGCTACACAGGATTACATTTATGTATACCAGTATGTATGTGCTACACAAGATTAAATTTATGTATACCAGTATGTATGTGCTACATAGGATTAAATTTATGTATACCAGATGTATGTGCTACATAGGATTAAATTTATGTATACCACTATGTATGTGCTACATAGGATTAAATTTATGTATACCAGTATGTATGTGCTACATAGGAATTAATTTATGTATACCAGTATGTATGTGCTACATAGCACTATATTTATGTATACCAGTATGTATGTGCTACATAGGATTAAATTTATGTATACCAGATGTATGTGCTACATAGGATTACATTTATGTATACCAGTATGTATGTGCTACATAGGATTAAATTTATGTATACCAGTATGTATGTATACCAGTTTGTATGTGCTACATA